AAAATCGCCTTTGACTCGCGTCTAGAGACCGACAGCGATCTGGTTCACCACAAGGCCACTTGACGCTAGAAATGACGTTTCATCCTAGGCAAGAATCATATGACGAATCTTGCGTCACACATAAGTTTTGCGTCATGTAAATTCGACTTTAAAATTTACAGCGTCATTCAAATTAAATCTGTTTTCCCAAAAACAAACAAACATAATCTAACCCAAATCAATTATGTTTTAGCTATGACTTCCCGCGGCGTCAAAGGTTCCACGTCAAACGCCCCTGCTCGAGTTGTTCGTTTGCACCTTTAGAATACTATTATGTATTATCCGGGCACTAGGCGGATTTGATCCTTCCCGCACGGTTTAGCCCTTCCGGTTTTCACGGCGGATTTACGGGCGTGGCAGTGGCGATTGATTCTACCGGCAGGTTTTAATGCCGCATTTACGGACCGGTGCAGCCAAAAAAAAAAAAAAAGGAAAAAAGGGGGTCTGCGGCGAGGGCGACGAGCCCGTCATCGGGCAGATGATGAGTCAAACCGAAAATCCCTTTCAAACAACCGCCACCGTCCATATAACATGTACGTATGTATATACACATTACACATAATATTTTTTTACCCTTTGTACGGGCTATTAGTCATCTATGGCGCTGCAGCAGCCAGCAGCAGCTCTCCTCTTTATTATTATTGTTGTACGAGTGTATACTTGAGCGCATGTATGCGTATACGCTCGCGCGCGGTGCCGGATTGAATGACATCATCGTCGGCGGCGATGGCTTCAAAACCGGGAGGGCGCGAACGTATAATGTTATATACGTACAATAAATAATATGACTAATGACGATAAATCGCCCGCGAGACCGGGCGATAATACTTAGGCCAGACGACCGAGACGCGAAAAGTAGCTCGGACGATATTCCATAGAGCCGGGTCTATAGCCCAGTTCTCGAAAACGTCGATTTTGAGCGCTTTCCGAGGTGATGTCTGCTAGCACGCTCGGGCTCCGACATTCGTCCGGATGTCCGCGAGCATATAGGTTACACACATACATAAGGTAACCCGACGGATCCGCAAACCGCGTCGTTTATGATGAATATGGAGTTTATAAACAAATAACGAATGTTATCGTGGATTTTTCACTAACAAAATTGGCATACAAAAAAATCACAGCCACGTTAGTTTTTTTTTAAGAACATCAATTCTTTAAGTTGTATTATTCACGGTTAAACTCCAATTGTTATTTAAATGCCGCAATTTATGTTCTAAGTAACGTAATTATTGGAGACCAAGATCGTATACACAGCATGTACTTATGGATTTAAAAAAAAACTTCCTCCCGAGAAATTTATTTTCCACTGATCCCCCCGCCCCTACAAAAGTTATGTGCGTACCACTGTTGTGGAAACTGTGATGACTAAATTTCGTAAATAACAACCACGCGTCCACGTGCTATGGATATTACGTGCATTTTCACTATCTCGGGGAAAATTTGTCTTTATCGACATTCGGCTGTTGTACGTGTTGCAGGCGAACAAAATAATACGCAATTATCATCGCGAACGTAGAGTGCAAGGACCGCAAAAATGTTATAACAAAAAATTGTTTCTGCTGTTGTCAGTGTTCATTTCAGGGGGTGGCCGGGGGGGGGTTATTCCCTCCACCTCTACAGAAAAGTGTATACCACCCCCTGTACATGTATGATATAACTATGAAAATTACATGAAATATGAGCTATGGGTCGATTATAAATCATCTTGTTAACAACAAATTAAAAAAAAAAAAAGTATATAAAATAATTACTATGTTATATAAATTAACGTAAATAAACGTAATTCAACGAGTTACAAAAAAAGTTATCATTGAACATATTTTCTTAATTTTTTAATTACAAATTTCTAGATCCTTTAAATAGGTAGACCTTTGGCATATCCCATTGAAAATGTATGATACCTTCCCTCTCCCAAGATAAAGGTCTGAAATAAACTCTGATTGTTGTTTGCTGATTTACTGACGTGAAGCCTGCTTTCGAAGCGTTAACTGCTGGGTATTGGCTTGATATTAGCCGCAATTCGTAATTATACGTCATATATACGGTAAAAATAATTATCAGTTACGCCGCACGGTGAAATTATACGTTGAAAACGACTAGGTGCGTATTCGTCATAAAAATATTGCAACAATTTCGCTTCAAGACCAAACCAACGATTGAACTACGGATATACCGCTCGTATAATGTACGGTGACCGAACATAGGTATTTTAACGGTATATATGAAAATAGTCTGTAATGAGTGTACGAAGAAAAATAGTTGATTTTAGATTCGGAGCATATCGAGGGATCTATTGGTTTTATTATAATGGGTGTTTTTTTTTTAAATTCTGAATGGAGCGAGGAGTGTATATAGTTTTCTAAAAAAATCTAACTAGAATGGTAATTTAGGGAAGTCATTTTTGGTTTTCTCAGGGTTTTACAGTTTATGATCACATCCCCGTCTGATATTTCTCCGTCACCATTTCCCCGTCCAATCACCCTAATACCTCATACAAAAGATACATAAGTGAATTTTAATAAATAGTATAATTATTATAAAGTTAGTTTTTTACAGTAGTTTTTTTTTTTAAAAAATTTAATAATTAACAATAAAGGTGTAGTGAACTATAGTATTATTACAATAATAGTTGCCATTCCCAAGCCTGGAAATAAGTGTGAGGGCACAGACTTGTAATAATTATTCCTATATTATACTATTTATCAAAATTTAGTTATTTATTATTTGTATAAGGTATTAATTTGACGGGGAAATGGGACGGGGTTGTGACCTAGTGTTCACGTGTTTGTAATAATCATAAAAATACGATAAAATATCGTCGTCGTATAGTTTTAAACGAACAATTTTCGTTCGATTGTCGTTTGGTCAAGACGACAGACGAGTGCGTTATTGTTTGGACTCCACATTACACGTGTGTATAATATACCAACGCATTATTTTGGATCTTACGCCATGCCTTCTATTAAACTACCGTGTAGCTCTTTTGGACGTCTATGCGCGTGCCCCACCACCGACTTTTATTCAATAAATCAACCTTTTCCTCAGGACTTGGCTACGTTAATATAAAAAAAATTTCCAAAAATCACCAAATAAAAATACTCATGATATTTTTATTTTAAAGACAACGGGGAGAGATAACGGGCGAATGGAATAATTGCATCCACTGCTCGCGCCACTGGCCTTCAGCACCACGTCTCTGACGTTTCTCGATGTTTTTCTTTGGGCTTAAACCCGTGCAAGTTTCACACCCGTATATAGATCTATGTGCTCTAGACACCAACACGACCCACCAATACGTTTCGACGGGTCTCTCCTCGACGCTACAGTTCCTGTTCTGCCGTAAATGGTTTTTTTTTTCGGGGGGGGGAGGGGGGGTTTCTCCGGTCGGACGTCCTTAGTACGTACGAATACATTGTACACCGTTTGCCGCGATCGCGCTAAAATGGACGAAAATTCGCCAACGAAAAGTTACAAATTCACAGTGGTCGTGTTCGTTATGTATTATTTCGTTGGACGTTGCTGGTTTTCGTGTTGAAATTTCCTCAGGAGGAGGGGGACGGCAGGGAGGAACATACGAGTACGTAGTATAAACAATATTGTAACCCGTAAATGTATCGTATGGTCACACGGGGGACTCGTCCTCGGCGCGAGCGACGGCGGCCACCGCGTGCGGTGACGTAATTATAAAGATGCGCGCGGTGGCGTGGATATCGTCGCCGCGTAGTAAATATTGCGCGCGTGCACGTACTATTACGAGTCTCGGCCGGCCACGCGATGGCTGACGACCGATGATAACACGCGATGACCGATGTGAGTAATGCGGCAATATTTACGGTACGCCGGCCGATATCATTGCGGTTCTGGCCCGCACGTGTCGTTTCCGCGAGTCCAGCGGCCGTGCGTAGCGTACAATAATGTGGCGACAGCGGTTCGGGTAAAGGACAGCCGGGCAGCCGATGACGAAAACCGCCTACGACGTTGTTGGGCACGCACCGCGCGCGGAAACCAAGGGCATCGCTAGAGCCGCCCTCCCCTCTCCGCGTCCTCTTTTAAACGATATTTATAATCGTCCGTCTACGATATGTTATCATAAACATACGAGTCGTTGAAATTAATATCAAATCGTTTGCTCGTACAATGCATGGGTACGCAATGCTATATTATCCTGTCCAAAACGTTCGCCAACACTCACTTGGAAACGGCGGGACCTTTTCGCGTACGCTTCCCCGCTTTTATTGCATTAAAACGCTATTTTTCCCAGCATGTGAACTGCGAATTCGGCCCGTCCGGGTATTATTTGGTTTTTAAAAATGTCTTGTTCTTTTTCTAAGGGGGGAGGGGGGAAAGAAAGCGTCGGACATTTTTTTTTCTCTCGATAGTGAGGTGCATTAAATATTACACGCAATCGTATCATTGCATGGACTGCAGTTTGTAAAAAAAAAAAAAAAAATATCGAACGAAATCCGCGCGAGTTTTTCACGATTTCCAACTCGGGAGTTGATTTGTTGCGATTGTCGGACGCATCCCGTGGCGAGATTTTCTCTCGGTCGGACGCTCTGAGACGATAATTCTCCGGACACGCCTCAAGCGGGTGGCGCTTGTCCGAAACGTATGGAAATCGTGTAACATAAAAATTGTTTGCGCTCGATGAACAACAATAATAATGTGACCGATCGCGGTTTTGTCACGTTCGCCCAATTAATAATATTCTTCTAATCTCGCGGGTCTGCTCGAGCCGTCGTGTTTGATACGGTGCGACGCCACGACAATTTTCGTGTATACCTACTACAGCCGTCGTCTACACCGCCAGTGACACGTGATCCTTGGCGGATTATTGTTATTATTATTATTATTATTATTCGATCGTATATTATGCAATAATAGCCACACGACATTTTTTTTTTTTTTTTATATCTGTCTTATCAGACCGTTCGTTCGATGCGCACATAAACATTCTGCGACACGAGATAAACAATAATATTGCCATACCGTCGTAAATGTATACTTGTTTCCTCACATGTGAACGTTTACTCGCAAGTCAAGTACACGCGTATTTACAAACCGTATCCAAACTTCGGTCCAAACTGCGGTAAAAGTAAATAAATGCGACCCGTCGTGATTTTTCATATAGGATTTAGGTTTACGCTTAGGACACTAATTTCATTGGATCCTGTTTAATATATAGTTAATATACGCTTCCCGTGTACCAAAAAAAAAAAAAAAAAATCGATATTACACATTTATAATTTAGTTATTATAATTGTTAATAATTTTCTGTAAGATTATTGTACTCATGTCCAATGGGGGCGTTATCGCTTATTGTAATTTGTTTACTATTAAGTCATTGTTATTATTATTAAAATTCCACTACACGGCGACTTTGCTTCCGAAATCGCGAATAAAATCGTTGACCAATGACGACTTCGCCGTATACTATAGGCTCGTAAAATTATCAAATAACTATTTTAAACAACCACCCGGGGCGAGGGAGATATGACCCCTCCCCCTTATATACGTTATTAGGTACGTTTGAAATTCGGTATCGCGAAACCTATCGTCATCGCCGCATTCCAAAAATGTTACGTTACAAGAATGTGCAAAACTATCGATTCGTTAATACACTAACAATATTCTTGTCCCGTGTTTACGAGTGAACACGGAAGCATTTCGACGAAACACCTCTTTTAAAAACTACCTTGTCATCTCGTTGGTATTTCAATTGAATACATAAAAAAAAAAAAAAAAAAACTGTTTCCATAAATCTTTAAGAATTGTGTTATAATCTCGACGTAATAGAATAATTGTTAGTAATGTATACATAAAGAAATAAAACTGATGGGTAGATACGACCGAGAAAAACGGTGACTGGGTGTCTGTCGGTGACTCATCTGATGGCAACTAAATAACGACCGTCCATTTTATTATAATATAGTGAGGGGAAGTTGGATTATAATATAATAAAATAATATAGAGAATTCTGCGATGTTTGCGTAAAAATTTCGCTTAATTTTCATGGGGACGGCTAATTTAGTGCGTGTACGGGGTAGGGGTGTCGATGACTTTCTATACATCACGTCGAATCCGAGCGTGAATTATTTTTAATTTAAAAGTTGAACAATTGTTTGATTATATAATACGAGTAGGTATATCATTGAGTTCGAATAACCCGATTGGACAAAAAGTTATCCGATTAAATTGAAGTTTTCCGACGAAAAACACAAAAACAAAAAAAATCAATGCTAACGAATTAATGTTCAGCAAAGTCCGGTTAAACACGTTTTTAAAGAGGTGATTTTACGATTTCCGTTCAAATTTTAATTTTAAACAGTTTAAACGCGTTTAACATGCATAACATGTTTACGCTTAACTTTATATCTATAAAAAAAACTATAAAAACTCGAAAATGTCAAATGCTTACAAATAGATAAAAAAATCACCAAAATTTGGTGTAAATTTTTAAATTGTCCATAATAATATTAGCCTAATATTAACATATTCTGTGGAAATTTCAGATATCTATAATAATTATTTTTAACCGAATTACAACGAAGTAACAAAAACCAAAAATCAAATAAATCGTTATTATCGTAAACTTTCCCGGTTTTCCTATTTCTAAAAAAAACGTCCTCCTCAACAGACTACCAAAAAATAACATTTGCTTTCAGAAAAAGACTATATACTTAAAAATCAAAATAAAATTTCTGGTCAAATATTTGTTAATAGACACACAATAAAAAGCACACGTTATCATTTATAGTAAAAGAGAATCTAACAAAAATATTTAATACAAAAACTGTTCCCTCGCCAAAACTGTTATAATAGTATATTTTCACGCAAGGCTGTACTATTTTGTTTTACTGTCGCTTGAAATTAAACGTACGTATATAGGTATAGATACTGCAGATTATTGTCAATGACATTATATCGTCGTCGGTGACATTGAAATTTCGACACACATTTTATCGTAAATAACCTTGCATAGTGTTGTTTACAGTAGTGCACCTGATGCCTATTATACACAAAATTTGAAAACTCGACACGCAGTTTTCCAAAGTCACTGATTGAATATTGAATAATTATTTGCGCGATTATATTAGTTGATATACAATGAAATTTTCGCGTAGAAGAAAAATTGTAATCTCCATCATATCAAATATTGCAATTTTGGAGCTGAGACTTTTGTGACGAAATTATTTTTTTTTTTTTTAGATTTTCCCGGACAGTGTCCATTTTTAAGTTAGGACAATATGGAATTTTGGCTACAATCAATTTCCTTTATATTGGGGCAGATCATGGGAATAGATCACAAGACTTTTAAGATTCTGAGTGAAGTGAGAAATGTATTGGTTTTACAATGATGTTTGTTATTACTTATTTTTTCTGTGGACAACTTTTCTATCAGCAATTTTACTCCAATTTACAATTATAACACTTTTTCTGAAAAAAATCTAACTGGGGTGGTACTTTAGGAGGGTCATTAGTTGATAATTTTAAATGATCAAAAGAAAAATGATAATAATACAATTCCGTGGTTTTACAATTTATGTTGATAGTAAAAAATGCGTGTTCTTCGTTGTAAAATAATCATGTCTCATCAGTTAAAAGTAAAATCATCAACCACGATGTGACTGTGACGGCATGTAGTCTACCTGACATCGAGGTCGCTAACAGTGAATTTATAATCATACTATTGTGTTTTTGTAGCAATCGAAAAATATAACGTTGTAATCTCTTTAACATGACATCACAAATTAAAATGTGTTTTCGATTGTTTGGATTTAACTGTGACTCGTAAATAAAGCAAAATTAACGAATTATTTAGACTGACTAAATTATCATTTCCACAATATTCGTAATATGAATCCAGGTATTAATAAAACTACTTCAATACTTTATAATTTACAAAATATAAAAATAAAAAATGTAATAATTGCATTTTAGTGTTTGCGTTAAAGTATTTTGTAAATTTGAAAAAAATAAAACAAATATGCTACAAAAAGTGAAATGTTTATTTGTAAGTTGGTGGAGAGGTTGTGCGGGGCATAGCCACTCACAGGCCTGTAAACTAAAACGTTCGTCATTCTTCTTCTAGAAAATATCCTAAATACGCTACTGCTAAGTACCTGCTAAGAGGTATGCTCTTTGACTAACCTGAAAATCGTGTTCACATACCGGATCTCAAGTGTATCTGTTGCACGGTTCTCATAAATATATTACAGCACATTATGCCCACAAGTAGGCACGGATCCTAGGGAGAGTAGGCTAAGAGAATATAGCCCTTCTTGTATTTTAAATAAAATTGCATAATATATATCTAATGACGTAGCGATGAAGTCGTAAATCGATTTTCTAGACAAAAACCTAGACGAATGTAAATTGAGGACTGGTCAAAGACAAAATGAACTAACAAAATTATTTTAATTTAAATTGTAGTTTATAAATAAAAAAGCATGTGATTGAAAAATTGTTTTAGTTTAGCACCCTATTTGTGATTTCTAGATCCGCACCTAGTCCCCATCAAAGTGTCACGGCGGTAAACGCGTGTAATAAAAAATATTTTTTTTTAATTTACAATACGTAATAATATATTATACTTGTACTTACAAAACATAGGGTGATCACATATACTTGTAATTTGACGTATAAGGTACTCGTGTTATTATCTCGGAAAGTATAATTTTTTAAGAAAAAAGTAACTCTGAAATGTTACATTACCCTTAATTTTTTGTCACCCTTATATGTTTGGCTGTGAAACTATTACCCGCACATTACGACTTTCCCACGGCAACCTATATAACAAATAATAAATAATATGAAGTTTTATATTCTGAGTGGAGTAAAGAAGCTTATGGTTTTACAAATATATATATTTTTTTTTTTTCTGTGGACAACTTTTCTACCAGAGGACTTGTTCCGATATTTACATGTATCAACTTTTTTGAAAAGAAATCGATGTGGGAAAGTACCTTAAAGAGATCATTTTTCAATTTTCTCTGGAGTTTTCTCAGAAAATGTGAAAAACTGGGAAAACCAGGGAAAATCGGTACAACATCAAACAAGTACTATTAAATAAAATATATAGAGCCTATTTAATTATTTTACTATAATATGGCATATATATTGTTGACAAAGCATCAATGTCAACTGGACTCCGCTCAGAATCGTTTTTTCAATGGTTTATATCGTTGCTTACAGGTATACATTAAATTACCTATAACCGTGGCTGCACCCGTCCCCATTATCCTAAGTCGTCTTTTTCCGTTTAAATATACCAGTACAATATTTCTGTGTTGACATTATAAATTTCCGTCCGACCTATTGATCATTCTGTGTAGATAAACGTACACGGCAAAATATCGTTACTATAGAAAATATCGGACACGTGTGCGATAAATTATAAATTATAATATTATATATTATGTTTGTTATCAAACGCATCACTGATTTTACATACAGGTAATAATTAATATGCATTTACATAATCGTATGCAGGCCGGTAGTTTGAATTTGTAATAATAGCAATAATTATTATTATTGTTATGATATCGTTTTGGAAGAGATAGGCATAAAATATATAAGACGTCTTGTATACAATATAGGAAACTAAATTCTTTTTTTTAAAAACCCCATAAAAACGCGGTTGTGAACGAAATCAATTGTGTACATGGGTACGTTATAGTATAATATTAATGTTTTATTATGTATTTATATGTAAACGTCATCGTCATTGCGCACATTAATGTTGGTACGCATTTATATATTTGATAAAAATATGTCAGATAATTTTTAACCGTTGATGGATGCAATGTCACTTGTGGTATAAATCTGTTTTTTTTTTTTCAAATTGTTTAGTTGGAGATGAAAACGTTTTATAATTATTATTAACGAAGGTTGTGAAATGTGTATTTTTTTTATGTTAAGCCCTATTTAAAAATAAATAGCCGTCACTGCTCACAGGTTTTAATCGAGTAATTGGGGAGGTACGTTATACAGAGTAATTTTTTATACTGAACGAAAAACGATTCTGAACGGAATGTATTAACCATGTTCTTGCCCTTGTTGCCGAAGAAACCCAGAAATGAACAAAAATGGACCTTTGAGGAAGAACTATTCAACATTTCTATAAATGTTTCGTAGAGTGTAACCAGGCAGAAATTCTATAGCTCATGAGGTACTGCATATGAAGTCAAAGCATTTGCCTAACCAAAAAATGTGTTTTGCT